CTGCACGTTCACGAGTCTGAATATCCTATTTCTCGAATTCTTAACTTTCCCAAAACGTCATCATCTTTCAGTATGCGCACAGACATGCATACGCAAGCATCCCCCCACACACACAAACCCACGCACGCGCGCACACAGGCATACGTGCATGCACGTATTTCTCTACCTTAATTATTATTCATGGTTAAGTACATTCGGAAATGATGGCTTAATGGATTGAGTAGGTAAATTCTACGTACAACGGGTGTGTTTTCTGCAGTGTTTTTGCACAAATGAATGCAAATTCACTGGACTCGTTATACGGGCGCCTGCAGCTGTGGTGCACAATGTAGTAATGTTACAATAAATTAAATGAATGAATTTTTCACTGACGGTTTATAGGATGTTGCCAAACGATCTAAGGCATCGTAGCACCGCGGATTGACAAATTCGCCTTGTATTTTTTAATCGCTATGGGTCTTTTGAGCTTGTGTCATTGGTGGTCATAATTTCTCCAAGGGCGCAAAGAATTTTAAATTCCTCGTATCATCATCAGCTTCCTATCCTATCTTCCTAAGTTATTATGTTTACGTTATTGTTGCGGTGTGTATTACATATAGCGCGTATATCTATAGACCCGGATGACCTAAATAGTTGGGTTAAAACACTGCCGTGGCAAGGGACTATGGTTAATCTGTGAAATTGCCTCTGCCTCAAAGGGTCTTCATGTCTGTGCAAGTAAGTGACAACCTCTCGTTTGCAGTTGTTGCACCAAGCGATGTATAATTATCGGGGGGGGGGGAGGGCTAATAAAGTTAGTGATCACTCGGTATTAGCCAGAATGGGTAACTTTGAAGATGGCGCGCATGCTGGAACAGATTGCAACTGTTGCTGCCTTTGTTCCATTACTAACGAGCAGTACAAAGAACTAGCGCTGTGTCCTTTGCGTATTCAGTCAATTATTATCCTATAAACTAGGTTGAACAGTTTCAGTATGATAATATATATGTGTGTGTGTGTGTGCGCGTGCGTGCGTGCGTGCGTGCGTGCGTGCGTGCGTGCGTGCGTGTTTGCGTGCGTGCGTGCGTGTGTGCGTGTGCGTGTGCGTGTGCGTGTGCGTGTGCGTGTGCGTGTGCGTGTGCAGTTGCATGTGCGTGTGCAGGTGCGTGTGCGTGTGCGTGTGCGTGTGCGTGTGCGTGTGCGTGTCTGTGCGTGTGTGTGTGTGCGTGTGCAGTTGCGTGTGCGTGTGTGTGTGTAAATCCAGAGTGGGAACGGGGCAAAACACACCGACATATACGCTATTATCATATATTATTATTATTATATATCTATTCACAACGCTATTATTATATATTATTAATATCATTATATTTCTATTCACAACGCAACTAAAGTAGTGAAGCGTAACAAACTACATGAATTACGATAACCGCGGTGCAGGGATACTTCTACCGTGGAATCCCCGCCTGACAAATTACTAGAGGTTCTTTAGTGTTTCGGTGTTGTAACACTAACAGTCATGAATGCCGATAGCGGTATTCAGGCGGTGTCTGGAAAGAAATGCCAGGCGTTTCTGATTCCATGGATAATCCTATTATGGCAAAAAACACGCTGTTGTTCATGTAAATGAATCTCGTTCCCATGACGTCAGCGGGTCTTAAACCGGTGTCAGAGCGTGAGAGCAAAATGGGGATTATGCTATAGGCGGGTGAATCACCTTTACGCGAGAGACTAAGAAAGTGTTATGTTAGTCGCCATGAAAAGTGAAATGCTTCGATGATTCGTCAAGCATAGCTAGTGAGGAATCGCACGCCGCATCGTACGAGGTTTTCCCACCTCGGTGTAATATTGCCTAGTCCTTATGTGCTGCGCGCATAAACACGTACACTCCCTGCTGGGGAGATTTCCAACGTTTATCTAGCGGCATGGCTTGATTTCACACTCTGTGTCGGAACGTATAATTAGTATGCGCATGCATATTTACACATAGGCCAGACTACTCGTAAATTATATATATATATATATATATATATATACATATATATACACATATATATATAATATATATATATACATATATATATACATATTATATATCAGGGGGTTAATAACGACAAATTATCATTAATATTATTTATTTATTTATTATTTTTATTTATTATTTATTATTATTATTATAATCAACCCCTGATATATATATATATATACATATGTATACATATGTATATATGTATATATATATATATATATATATATCGTGTGAGAGAGCGTTTCCCAGATACATGCGTAATGCAGTGTTGGGTATAAGATTTCTGGTGAATCATAGTGAGATCATGCACCAGCAAGGATGCTTTTCCAGACACAAGTGGGGTTTGTTTACCCTGCGATTAGTCAGTGTAGTGGCAGTCAGCGTCAGCGCACACATAAAACGGTCTGGGAGAACTGGGTGGAGGAATAAAGAGCTAATGCGTTCATGGCTGAACCGAGGCTGTGCCCTAAGGTAGGCTTGTGCATGTGTCTTACACGTGAGCGTCAAAGATTGCGGACTGTCGTTGCAGTACCTTAAAACAGGACTTGGTTGTTACGTTAAACCTTTGTATGCGATAAGGTAGCCACCATGATTATAATTGTACGGTTATGATTTCTGTTTCTAACCCAGGTATTGTACCTGATTGTTTTAACACGATTAATTGCCTGTCAATATTATGATGCGTGCGCGCGTGCGTGTTCGCGTGCGTGTGTTTTTACTACGCCTCATGGCGTACTAGTATCACATCCCCTTCTCTGAATTCGTAGCGCATAGCCTAAGTGAACACTCACGCATTACATAGTGAACCACTCGTGAAACCAGCTCCGTTACACTCGCAATGAGAGGGACCCATTTTAAGTAGTTCCTGCCACTTGAGCAGCCATTCCTTTCCATCTACGCACGCTGTCAACTCCTGCCGACACCCCACCACACTATGTATAGATGAATGCAATGGATTCGGTTCTTGGCGTAATGTACCGCACCCACCGGAGTATAGTATTACTTTCTACGGATGCAAGTCTTTGCATTCCTCCCAGAACCAGAAGAAATCGAGTAGCTGCAGTCCCGGTTGTACTAGTAGCAGCAAATGAGCACTGTCACATTCACACAATGTGACACTTTTCAATTGTAGTTGCGCCAGTGCCGTGCTTTTAATGTGCACAAACATAACATAATAGACCCTCACTATCACTCGTTATAGGCTATTAAGAAATCATGCAGTTATTGTTTTGTCTGAAGTTGGTTTGGCAGTGTTTGCACTCGTGATAGTCGAACTGCTAGAGGTGATCAGGGAACCTGTTCTCATGGTAAAAATTTACGTAGCCAAGACGTTGTTTTTAACACAGTGCTGTCATTGTCATGCTAAATACGATCTGACCTAGCTTACGTCTTATAAATATAATGTTGGCGGAATTAATCCACTCATAGCACAGTGATTACGTGTAATATATTATGCATACAAGGTTTATGTAGATATTGTTGCCAAACAGATTTTTGGTTGCTCGTCGCTGCAACCTGCAACCGCAAGCGATCGGTCGATGTGTCGCCGCGTGTGCGCACGCATCCGATTTTGAAGCAATTCTATAACAATCTGGGAGCGACGAGTCGCTCAAAAACAAAACAGTTTGATTTTTGCAACTCGTCGCCAGCGACCAGAATGGCCACGGGTTGCAGTTGCACGTTCTCGCAGACGTAGCGATTTCACAGCAATTTTACAGCGATTCTAGAATCGCCGTCGAGTTGCATGAAAAAGTCGCAGGTCTGCGCTAGGCTTTAAACAGCATTGTTCTCGTTGGCGCGGGTGATATTGTCCGAAGTGATACATTTTTCTGCAGCAGTCTTGCGTGATTGGATGCCCTCCCTAGCAGCGACCAACGCGGTATATATTGGAAAGGGTTCAAGCGACCGATGCGGAGTGGCAGCGATCATTTATCACGGCGCCTATAGGCTACTGGGTCTACGCATCCACGCGCCATTATTCACACCTGTCCATATATACGTAATGATCGAGGTGTCAGCCGTGCGCGTGCTACTTGTGGTATTTAAACAGTTTTCGATGGGTGGTGCGTAGTGGCTTACGCAGTAGGCCATAATTAACGAGACAAACCCGAATTCACTTTTAAATACTTGTTAAATGGAAACGGTGACAGTTGTGCACACATGGCCGAGACACACAACAAATGCTAATAAACATTGTGTGCTGAAACTTCTGTGGTCTTTGTAATTGCTCAGTACGGGGACAATCTATCGATGCGTGCCAATGCTTTCTATTTTTGCTAGAAAACAGGGTAATGGTGTAGATGCGCTTGCAGTGATATATTTGTGCAGTCCAGCAAACAATACCACGTTATCCAGCTACAGTGTGTTATACTAATATATGTGAAATGGGTGTTAAATGTAACATCGGGTTGGGCCAAGCTGTTAACACCTTTTTTAAGACGCGTAACATCGCGTAATAATCTGTTGTTTAATCTTCTCTACTATAGGCACGTACACGGTTGCATATATAGTTTAATATGTAGTGAATTATTTTCAATTGCTATGCACGTGTTGCAAGGTAGCACGAGTAAATAATTGGCCGAGCTGTTCACCTCTATATAAACAATGTCAAAATGTTCACGTTACACATTTTCAGCCACGCAAGGCCATCTTACAAATTAGTTTACACATTTCATAACGGCGTGCAAGTGTGGCCGCTGTAATTATGATGTATCGTGAAAATTGTTTAAAAAGTTTTAGAGAGTAATTGTTTAAGAGTATAAAAGACATGGCATTTGGAATGTCTAGACTTCTCATGCAAAGGAATAAAATACATACTTGAGACTCAAACCTAACTCATTTAAAGTGTGCATCTCATTACTGTTCAAACGCCTAAATAGTCGAATGAGGGTAACCTTCAGAATATTTTATTAAAAAAAGACTCAACTTTCGTGTGACAACAACTCTGCGCAAATTACGTGCTCATATTTATTCATATCGTTGCTTGTTTTAGGCTGAAGACCTGTTTGACATTCTGGAGCGAATGCAGGGAAATCGGCTTGATGAACAGCGATGCAACCTTCCAGTCTCTTTCCTGCAGGTAGGCATGTTCATAGGCTTTGTGGAACAAACTACACTCTCCAACTTAGCCCTCCTATGATATCTATTTCTTTCTATCTGTATTTATTTATTTCCTCTCCCTTTCTCCCTTCTCCACTCACTCACTCACTCACTCACTCACTCACTCACTCACTCACTCACTCACTCACTCACTCACTCACTCACTCACTCACTCACTCACTCTTCTTCTCCTCTGCTCTCTCTCTCTCTCTCTCTCTCTCTCTCTCTCTCTCTCTCTCTCTCTCTTCTCTTCTCTCTCTCTCTCTCTATCTCTCTCTCTTTATTATATAATTTTTCTTTTCTTTTCTTTTTCATTTATTTATTTATTTATTATTATTCACTCTGTATCCCTTTCTGTGTTGAATATGACGTGATCATTTCTTCCTACTCTGTTCACTGACATTTAGACTGCACATATCCCTTTCGTCTGTACGTTGTCATGTTTATATACTAATTCTGCAACTTACCGAAAGCAAAAGATCTCATCTATACTAGGATATAACTGATTCATACTGGCTCATCTATAATAACTCATCTATAAGTTATAACAGCTCAGCTATGATAACTCATCTATACTAGGATATAAATATAAATGAGAAAATATATGCATGGGTATACAGCAGGAGATTAGATTACCACATACGTCTGTTCAATGATGCTATGGAAGACGATAATGTAAACATTGGCATTTTGCAAAGGGGTATGACTATTTCCACGCGATTCAAATGCCACTTCCCGGGACAAGCTTACACACATCAAAGCAAACACAAAATCAACAAAATCAAGAACATATTATTGACAGTTTGATATTTTTTTGCAGTTATAAACTAAGTTTACTTTTAGTTACATTTTGGGTAACCTCAGCCATATCCTTAGCTAAACAGGAGTGCTAGGAAAGCTTCACTGTCTGATGTGAATATTATATACGCGCCACGCACTGCGCATCAAGTCCCACCCAATAGAAGCTGCTGTCTTGGCTAAATTTGGATTGATGAGTTTGGCCAGTCGGTATCATCGGCAACAGCTGCGTGATCAGTTTGTTGTAATTAAGAGCAACATTACTCAGAAATCACGTGCTTTTTTAGCGGGGGCTGGCAAAGAAAGCTTGACACTCCGCACGGCTGACGCAACTGGCTGGTTTGCGGAGATGCCAAGAATTAGTGTTGCACCTATTAACAAAATTATGTGCGCATTACTATGGAAATTTTACAACCGAGGTTGCATTAGTATCATCCCTATAACAATACAGATGATAATGAACTATCTTTACGATGTATTGCGACTTAGTTGTGCCGCATTCTAAGTGGGCTGCAAATAACGTAGAAGAGGATATATACATCCTTGTGCTCCAATATGCTGTTTATTTCTGTATTACTGTGACACGCAACGTGCCCTGTTTCTCTCGTGGATGTTACAGGTCAGTTTATTCAGTCAGTGGCTGCGTAAACGTGCTCTCAACTTAAAAAACTATTTGTCATATGTGGGAAAATAATGATGACGTATTATATAATCAGTCACGTTGATGTTGTTAATTGCGCATCAGTTGTCCATTAATATGACATGCATGATAATGAGGAGAGTGAATGAAATATTGATCACTATAAAAGTGAGTCATTCATAGAAAGCTGCAGTGTTAAGACTATGTAGTCCCGGTTAATTATTTTTTTACGCTATACATTAATCAACAGCACGGCAGCTGTGGACTTCACAATAACGTAGATGACAGGGGAAATTGATGAGAGAGAATATTTTTACGAGCCCTTACTGTTCAAGGTATCTCCGTAGAATGAATCAGTGGAGCGTACATTGTACTTCGTCATCTTGTATTATGCTTGGTCTACCACCCCTAGCTGTACATGCAAATGTAGCAAGCTAGCGACCCGTAATTGCCCTTAGCCTATACGCCTACACTCGGCATCGCTAACATCTTGTTCGTTAACTTGCAGTTAATTTGGAGAATATTCTATCAAGTGTTCTATTCGGATTTCCACTGATGAGGCGAATTTGATTTAGCTAATTCTGAGTGGGCGAAACCAGCAGAATGTTGAGTAGCCGCATCTCTGCATTCCTACGTTTGTGTTCGCTCTCAGGCGCCAACCCACGCTCAACACCACGACATAAGCATGCTATAGCATTCACATCACTATGCGTTCCGGTTCCGCTAGAATAAACGCTTGCCCGATGTCGTACGGTATATGAGTGAAGAGCATAATGATATTCGCGGGTAGTTTCTGCGGTTTACTTACAACGTTTTTCTCAAATCTAACGCCGTCATTATAACGGGTAAACTATTAGTTACTCATGAATTACGGGTTGTTCTCCTGGATGTTTGATCGTGAGTAAATTGTTAACCGAATATTTGTTTAATGTATGGCCGCTGCTGTATATTGCTCATAATAAGAGATAATTATCCACGCCTAGACCCACGTACTGCTTGTAATTACTGCGTTCAACCGGCCTTGCTATTATTTCGAGCACATAGCAGTATAGCTAGAGTTCCAGTCAGTCACTGCATATATCAATGGGTCTAAATTGAATAATATAATCGTGTAATGATAATAATAATAATAATAATAATAATATGATAATAATAATAATAAGGAAAAACAAAAAGTATAAACACGTATTACCTTAAACTATAAAAACTTAGGAAGACTACGTAAGGAAGTCGTGACACGACCCTAAGTGGGAAGTCGTGTCTCTTCACCCCTAATTTGTAGATGTTTTTTGTGAGTAAAGGCATAAAACTTGATTATATATGTATATATATATCAGGGGTTAATAATGACAAAATTGTCATTATTAACCCCTGATATCATATATATATATCTGGTCTCTCACTCACAGACTCACGATATCGAATATTTCTCTTAATGCTGCAATAGTCGTCAGCATTTGTTGAGATGTTGGTTAGATTCCAACGTCATCGTCTGGACGACCAAAGATGTGATCTACCTCCTGGAATGCTGGTATTTTACTGTGTGTTTACACGTTTTCGCCATTCGCCGTGTCAGTGATTCTTCTTATATGCTTAAAGTAGCTTAGCACAAGAAATACAGGTTTATCGGAGTGTAACAGAGCATGAATTTCAATCTGGTGTCTAAAAGATAAGGTTTCACCAATACATGCGCCTGGCCGTGGAAGAAGCTTACATGCTAATTTAGGTGAGAGTGTACAGTGTAAATTATCTCACCTTAAAAATACTTTCGGTTGTGATGTGAAACAAACAGCATGTTACCGGTGAATGCCCTACGATACTTTTTATTGATTTCTGCTCTTTTATAATTACTTTTAATGTTGACAATTACTATCAGTTATGTAATGCCAGCTAATTACATCGTTGAACGCCAATTTTGCCATGTAATTAAGTGACTTCCACATACATTAATATACTAGAGCCATCTTGCAAAAATATACATTGCCCCAAAGAAAATATTTATATTCATCAGACCATTCCTTGCTTGTCTGTAAACCAAATGAAAAGATTTATCGTTTAGATCTAGGGGCACTGTCTGCCGAAATGCACGGCTTTGTATATATTTGTGGTTTTTCCTGTCATTACAGATATGTGTTCTTCCTTCATTTGCCTAATGCATGTATACAGCATTTCTTTTGATGTATAGATTTTAAACCTCGTGGTAATATAAGCATACATATTTATGAGATTGGCATCATGAGCTACCTTTTGAATTTTTATCTGATCAGGTAGGAGCATCTGCATTCAGCCACTGAAAACTTAACAATCTTATTGTCCAGCACGTTCAATGGACCATTATACCTGTTTCTATTCCTTGCAGATTTAAACATTGAGCGTAAATCTTTATTAAATCGCTTGCTTGTTCGTCAACTATGCATGGCATGCACCTATAGTTGCTATTATTACAGCATAATATATGTAGGCTTACTGCAGGTATTCACAGTTTGCTCTGTGTCTAGCATGCATGTTGTTGTGCATCCGTGTTTCTTCTTTGCGGCGATTATTTTCCACGATCACAGTTTTGTATATAGGCAAGCTGCAACTGTGACGTATGCTCGATATGTGTTGGAAACGCAGGCCAGACATCACGCGAGACTGTGTGTTTTACCTTCGTTTGTGTCTTGCAACAGAACGAAGGAAAAGCGACCCCCATGCGCAGGAGGAAGGAGAGTCCGACAGCAGCCGAGGTGCGGGAGATGCTGCTGCAGTCTGGCCCCTATCCGATGATTGTCCTGCCGCAAGCTGCCAGCATCTACTGGGCTGACGGTCTGGATTCAGACTCCACCACTGAGACCACCGAGTCCGTGGCATCGAGCAACGAGAAGTACAAGTTTGAGTTCAACGAGGTGGCGAAATGTTACAGGCGGCACTTCTTGGGGAAGGTTAGTTGAAGATTTGCAACAAGAGAGTCTGAGCTCAGCAAACGAGTTTAGTGAGGGAGAAAGCAATTTCGGTGGGTTGTATAGCTGTACAGAATTGTACGAAATGGCATTAACCGCAAATTTACGAATTTCGCAGAAACTGATATTTCATACATGCCAAAATATTTGTAGTATATAATTGGAGCATAAATGTGGCGTTACGTGGAGATTGGGTATAAAAGTGTTGACTAGTATTGAACTGAGCATTTGCTAGGATCTTAATTATTTGTTGCTGTTTCAGGAGCATTTCAACTTTTTTGCCCAAGATGAAGTAGTCGGTCCAATAGTATTATCTGTAAAGACCGAGACCATCTCCTCACAAGAACACACTCGGCTTATACTGAGGTAAGGAATTTCCCTATATCTGTATGCAAAGTGATTTCATTGAATTTACAGACTGCTGAATTATGATATGATTAGTTACGTACACGTGCCACACATTAGTGTTCATCGTGCAGGACAGCTATATAACTGAACGTCCCATATGTATAAAGGCACTTTCATGCTGTGCCCCTTTGTCTTTGATACCAATTGACATGTATAGTGCCATCTTGTGCTGTAATGTTTCACAATGGATTAAAATTATAAATTCAATATAGTTAAAAGTTTATGATTGTGTCTGTTTCTCTGGAACAATAGTTTTACAAGATGAAAACCTGCTGTGTATAGAATGAAATCAAATTGAAACTGCTTGGTTATATGCAGCGATGTGAGTTTCTGAGGTTGAGTAAAAATTGTATTTCGTTTTTTCCAAATCTACTTCTTTATCTGTCATCAAGAACATGATTAGGCACACAGAATGTTTTGTTTTCTTAAGGACAAAGATGAGCACAGTACATGAGTTGGTACCAGCAACCTGTCTGCAGGACTGCCCAACGCCAGCACGTACTGCTAAGCTTCTCTGTGAGCAGATAACTACGGACAAGTTTCATCCTGTCCTCTTCACAAAGGCAAGCTTTATTCTCCTAATTTAAACGTGCATGTGCAGTGATATTATTAGCCTAGGTTTCTGCTAGTCTCCTGAAGTAAGGCAATTATCACTGGTGTGTCCCCTGAGAAATTCTGTTTGCTGTGATAGCATCGCTGAAGGTGATCAAGGATGTAGTGAGTTATTTAGACTCTGAGAAATTTGTTGTGAGCGTGGTAAGCTGGCCCACTGGGAATAGACTTATAGGGTAAGTAACTGTCGATTTTCCTGGCATTTACAGGGTTCGGAGATTATCTGCGCCTACGATGAGCATGTCCTAGTCAACACGTTCAAGTTTGGCATCTGCTACCAGCGACGTGGCCAGGTGACCGAAGAAGAACTTTTCGGCAACATCAACCACAGTGCGGCCATGGAAGAGTTCCTACAGATGATTGGACAGCGAGTCACCCTCAAAGACTTCAAAGGGTACTCACAAATTTTTGTCTCAGAAAAGTTTCAAATTAGTGCAATACTAATGACTCTTCTCGTAGTACAATTACCATTAATTGTGTGCTCCAATATCATTTCTACAAATCAAAGACGACTATAACTTAAGTTCTGCATGAGTTTTGCATGTATTCGTAAGCTAATATAGTTAACTTGCTCAGAAATTAACGTAAGTTGCTGGTTTACCTAATAGATATCGAGGAGGACTGGACACGGTGCATGGCCAGACAGGGCTAGAGTCTATATACCAGACATACAAGGACCGAGAAATTATGTTTCACGTCTCGACTTTGCTACCGTATGGAGAGGGAGACCCTCAACAGGTAACTACTGATTATACGATAAATTTATAATTGTTTTCCTTCTATGCAATGGTTTGTGTAGGGACTTACCATTTATTTTAGCTGTTCTTTAAAAAAAATTCATACAGTTGCATGCCATACAGGGCCATCGACTAATAGGTGGCGGGAGGTGGGCATTTGTCCCCACTCTCAGAGAAATGTAGATCCTGTTACATGGTCAATGTTGAATAGGCCAGTTAGGTAGTTACAGTCTGCGCATGCGCAAACTTTGCCGCGATCTCTTCTGGGTCAGGTCATTTGTGACAAAATAGTTCGTATTTCGACCGCACAGTACACATACGCATGCATCTGTGTCGTTGTAATGCTACAGTCTTCGCGTGTGCATGTACACGTGCGTGTGTGCGTGTGCACGTACACGTTCGTTCGTGCGTGCGTGTACACGTACACGTGCGTGCGCACGTGCGTGCGTGTGCACATACACGTACGTGAGTGCGTGCGTGCATGTGCACGTACACGTGCGTGCGTGCGTGCATGTGCACGTACACGTGCGTGCGTGCGTGCATGTGCACGTACACGTGCGTGCGTGCGTGCGTGCGTGCGTGCGTGCGTGCGTGCGTGCGTGTGCACGTACACGTACACGTGCGTGCGTACGCGCGTGCGTGTGCACGTACACGTGCGTGCGTGCATGCATGCGTGTGTGTGCACGTGCACAGAATACATGTACATATAACCGACAGCGCACGCCGCACTCGAGATTTCATCGATTTTTGTCACAAATACCCCGGTGACCTGTGACGTCACACAACCCCTTGGCTAACTATGAACTGGCTTATGGCAACGGTCCCCTGCCCAGAAAACAACTAGCATTTGGTTTTGCCCCCCCCCTTCAGGCAAAATGGATTAGTTATGCCCCTACCATAGAAGTAGACACCCCTGCAGCTTTGGCTATGATCTTCCACACAGAATAAATAAAGTCCAAACCCTGCACCGAAAGTCTTGCATTTATGTTTTACGTGAAGGCACGATGAAGTTGAGTAATGCCATTAGAAGGCTGTTTACTGAAGTAACTGTTGTTTTTCTCATGCAGCTGCAGCGGAAGCGACACATCGGGAACGACATTGTCTCCATCATCTTCCAGGAGACAAACACACCGTTTATTCCTGACATGATCGCATCCAACTTCCTGCACGCGTATATCGTTGTTCAGCCGATTAACCCCAACACAGAAAATACCAAATACAGGGTAAGGTTATCAAGCCAGTTCATCACCACATTAAGCAGCCTTCAACAGCCATATCTTCACTTTGTGGTATTGATTTTTATTCTGTTATGGTTTCTTAAACATTCAGGGGTTCTAATAGTACAAATATAATTATCAAAATGCATAGGTAGACTGTTTGGTGAATTAATGCTGTCTTAATGAGGGTTGGTAGCCATTATTTTACTTTCAGATGTGTACATATCGTAAAGTAAATACCTGAAATATATATAATGCATTTGCTGTGCAGTAAATATAAACATCAAGTTTTTGATAATGGATTTATTATTTTTAATGTTTTTGATTTAGGTGGCAGTAACAGCAAGAGAAGATGTGCCATTCTTTGGCCCTACTCTGCCATCGCCACCTGTTTTTGAGAAGGGACCAGAATTTAAGGATTGGCTTATAACAAAGTTGATCAATGCTGAGAATGCCTGCTACAAGGCAGAGAGATTTGCAAAGTTAGAGGTAGGATGTAAACCCTGCTGGTGTTACCTTTATGTCTCCAGTTGCTAGCATGCATATATTTGAAATGCAGCTTTAACAGCAAATGAAATGTCAATGGATTATCCCATCTAAGTATTGTGCTCAAACCCACAAGATAGACAGATTAAATGAGAAATCATCTCCTTAAACTCGTGTTTTCAAAATTCAAATGTAAACACAACACAGAATGTCAGTTGGAAGATCCAATATTTACTTGTGATTTCTGTACAACTTTGCAGGAGAGGACGAGGTCTTCATTGCTAGACTCCCTCTACAATGAGCTGCAGAGCAAGACAGAGGAGATCTTTGCCCAGCAGACAAATGCAAACTCCTTACCGAAGTCGGAGAGCAGCTCCTTCTTTGATTCACTGAAGAAAGTGTGGGGTACCAGGGCACAGACAATGCGCAGCCAATCAGTGGACATCAATCTCTCATCAGGCACGAATAGGAAGTCTGCAATTATTGACACGAATTCAAACGTGACTTTATTGGACCAAAGTTCTACAGCAACGGTAAGCAGTGAACAGTGGAAGATCACATTATCATTTTAGACATGTCTAAGGGTAATACTAAACATGTGTGTGTGTGTGTGCGTGCGTGCGTGTGTGTGTATATATATATATGTGCATGTGTGTGTGTGTGTGTGTGTATATATATATACTATTACTATATATATACTATATAATATACTATATATATATATACCAGGGCCGGTTCCAGGGCTGAGGCTAGACAGTATTTTTCCAGATTTAAAAGCCAATCGCCCAAAAAGGCACACAACCCCACAGTGAGCGCAAAATTTCGAAGGGCGCTTTGAAATCGAGACCCGTATTTCCCAATATCGGCAAATACGGTCTGAATCTGCCCCTGATATATATATATATATATATATATATATATATTATATATGTGTGTGTGTGTATATATATATATATATATATATATATATTTATAATTTATTTATTCGTTTATTCATTTATTTGTTACAGTTGCATGCTCAATAATCCTAGTTTTCATATACTCAGTCTCTGAACTTTACAAAGTATGCAATGTGCTTTACAGACTCTGTTGACCAAAAAGGGGTCAGCGTCTAAGAACCTGAACAGCAGCCTGAAGCGACGAGAGAAGAATCTGGAAGGCTCAGCTTCAGCTCCATCATCCATAAAGTAAGATTATCTTTAAATGTTTTATATCTGATATAATTGCCAATTAAATGTTAAGAGACTTCTCAATGTTAATTGATTCCAATGTACAGAATAGATTTTTCTACTTTGTAACAAGTGGCATAATATCTGCAAAAATGCATTTTCTACTGTGTATCTTATTATATGAAGAAAACGTTTATAATATTGATAATGAGTAATTGTTTAGATGTAAAATTGTAAAATTATTAATATCACACGTATATAATTTAACATATATGTCAGTATTGATGAATTCAATCTTCTACTTGTCTACAGGCCAGTGCAGAGGAACTCCACTGAAAGCTGCAGTAGTGGTATGACGCAGTGTTCATACAAAACATGTGGCATGCCCGATACTCCAGTCTCCAGTCCCGAGAGTGGCCACATACTGACTATCAAATCAAGGTATTGACTATAATTGTATAAATTTTATAGATGTCTTTGTGGTAATATCAGCTGGTACTATAATGTAGACGGTCAGAAAGATTTGCTAATTTGTAGTTTATACTCACGAGGTTTCATCGATCTGTCTACTCTTGTAGAAGTTGCCACAATCTGAAAGGACTGTCACCATCTAATTCCACTAGCAGCATTAATTCGGTTGATGAGTGCAACAGAAACCACTGTAACAATCACCACAATGAGGACTCAGACACAGGAATGGTACGTCACGTTGCTTGCTTAGCTACCACTGCATAACAAAATTGCACCGTTGTTCTTAAGCATTCTCGACTTTAGCATTATCTCGCATCATAAATGTACTCATTTGAAGCAGGAATCATGTCATTCTGATTTACAGGAAAGCATGTCGTCCGCAGAGACGCCAAACAAGCGCATGTCAATGTCTTGCAGCTTTTGCTTAGAAGAGACGGGCTACTCGGTTAACTATGATAATGATGGTATGTTATAAATTCCTGCTTTTATTTGCACTTGTAAAATTATGTACCAATTCTCCTGCATCGCTTACAGTTGCTTTTACTTTAGCAGTTATCTTGAAGCTAATGGAAAAGGTGGATGATGAACGAATATATGTTATTCAGTGTCATTGGTTGTATGCATTGTTGCACTGTGGAGCATTGGTTATAAAGACTGCATAAATCTCTGAAACTTGCAGGTGGTATGCAGTTTATGGCATTGACAGTTTATAATCCATGACAATTTAATTGCAGCCCTGCTTAAGCAGCTGGAGAACAACAAACAGGAGGTAAACAAGCTCAAGTGTGACAAATTAGACCTCATACGACAGAACGTTGTAAGTTACTTCTGCTGTACAATCTTCTCTATGATGATATGATAGCCTTAAATATCGTTAAACGGAAAACGGGACCCTCGCCATCTGAGGCGAATCATTAAGCAATGCTAATGTTAACCGGTGGTCCAATGTACCTAAAAATCAAGTAATGTCAAGCATTCAGTCAGCTTTATCATGTTTTAATTTTTACAGGCATGCCAGCGAGATATCAAGAAGCTAAAGGAACGGGAGGGCAAACTGACGTCTGATATTTCAGCACTAAACAAAGAAATATCACGGTTACGAATAGTTCTACAGCAACGGGACCCACAGGTTATTGCCATAGTGTGACAGCAGAGCTATCACTCTGTCACCTGAGTAACACCGCCGTTGCTCACTGTTCCATATGATTGTTGCTACTTATCATGCTTATATCACAGCGCATAAAATTCTCCTTTATATTCCGCATATAAAGACACACATTTGTACGTTCTTCATCAGTATTAGCAGATGACAGTAAGCAACTAGCAGGAGGCAACATTTCTCCTGAACAAGTGACGCTGCTTTCACCTAACGCAGTCTAATGAAGACTGCTGTTGTGCTCCTCCAAGAGTGCAATTTCCTCACATTCATAGAGCCCACACTGTACGGCCCCCCCCCCCGTATCAATAGCCCGACAATAAATGAGCTCCTAATTCTGCAACATGCTTGATGAGGTGTTGTGAGAAAATGTCCGCTCACCTGCTAAATGTCGCAGGCGATGTTGCACGTCTACACCATGCAGCCTTTAAGTTTAATGCCAGTTGTCGCTCAACTAGTGTTGATCGTTTAAAAGCAGGCCGCAATACGTATGTGTGCATGTAAATTTTTGTCTTCCTGGTGGAAAGGGCAAACGAGCCCAGACTGATGGTCATAATCCCGAGTATTTCTTAGGTGTAATAGAGGAAACTCGTATATATTTTGCTAAACTTGTAAACTATTAGCATTATTACTTGTGCGCTTTGTAAATTATGTTGACAATCACAGTAACTATAAGCTGCTGTAAGCGTCTTGCCATTACTAGGGTCATCTTCTCTGATGCTTGAGACCTTGGATATGTAGTTGCCATATAGCCGGTACGATTTGATGTATGTGTGTATATATATATATATATGTGTGTGTGTGTGTGTGTGTGTGTGTGTGTGTGTGTGTGTGTGTGTGTGTGTGTGTGTGTGTGTGTGTGTGTGTGTGTGTGTGTGTGTGTGTGTGTGTATATCTCTGTTTTCCGTGAAAATGGGAAAAGTAATATTTAAATTTTAACCAGAAATTGTATTTATTGTGTGAATAATAATAATAATAATTTGGCACTGAGATCGTTGATTATCATATATCACAGTTTTTGGCTTTTATATCAACAAGTCAATAATTGTTCATCCTAGTTGTATGTATCGTGTATGCATCCAGGACAAGATTACATTTCCGTGTGAGCCGCTGCGATGTAGGTTAGATTGCACGTTATGCTATGTATGATAAATGTGTACGTTATGGCAGCTTTATAATTAGCATTTTGACAATTATACAGCTGATTGTCAGCCAGCAATTGGAATGGGTGTGGAGTACCGGGTTTTTTAGAGAAGCGTAATTGTTCTATTGGATATGGATTACCGAATGCGCAAGCCTGAAATTATATGTATTAGTAATATATATATTATCAGGAGTCTATCAATAGTTGTCACTATTTATAGTTGTCACTATTTAGCCAAGTACTGTCGTGGCCATTGACTAGTCTTGGCTTAATTGACCGAAATCTGCTTAAACCGGCTTCAGTGGTACGTCCTCTATCAACCGCACTTCACCTTTTCATGACTTTGCTCAGTCAGTCTTGAAGTAAATTTCCATAAGGCAGATGTTCTGTTTAAAAGGTGTTTCCTAGTTCTTGTAATTGTGGGTTCTGTTCATGGCGGTCTCGTTACTTATGCCGTGTAAGTTTGCCATGCTCTTTCTGTATGCAACTGCTTTGTGCAACCAGTTTCATTTTACATCATTCCAAATTATGGTAATGGGAAGTCATAACCAAGGTTGTATAACAGGGAAACTGTTTTTCCAGACACCATAATTCTATCACCAGTATCACAATAATAGAATAGATAGCGAGTGCTGCAAAAAGATGTTATGTGTACAAAGATGTTATTTAAGGTTGGTACCAAAATAAATAAGCGATGTTCTTTTAAGCTATTATTCTAAATGTATTGTTTTATTCTCTACACGTACTATCCATCAATCAGCAATAATATGTTTTGGTGGACCGTGGGCCGTCACGATATGAGTGGGAGAGGTAGATATACTGCAACTTCAGCTGGGAGATTCTCGTTTAGTCAAGGTTAATTGTGCATAAAACATATTTGTCCCTATTTGTTTAGATCTCTTAATTCGGCCTGCGATATGTACAACAAACGCAGTCTGTATGCATATTTCAATTCACTGAAGAAAATGATTATAATGAATAGTTTAGGACATGTTTAGACTTCATGTAATTGGAAAAAACAAGTGGTTTAAAAAAGTGGACCACCAATTCTGTCAAGGGAGATGGTCGTACGACCCCTCCAACACCCCCGACACCCACTGCCTGGCTACAGGACTGCACACACGCTTCCTCGTGGGTGATGTTTGGTCATGAATGAACGTAGGCTGCTGATTGGAATACCAGTGTTGTGACTTGATATCTTTGGTACTGCTCTTCTCTTTCAAACGGATACCCGTAGCTAAGGGTCGCAATCAGTATACAGGCCTATAGTAGTATGCTGAGAGGAGAGAAGAAAGGTCATTAAAGCACGTTTTATTATATTCATAATATAACCTAAATGACAAAAGTATATATATATATATATACGTACTATAATAGATAAATATAATCAGTATATCAGCTCATATAACAGTTCATAACCCTACTAGATCGTGCTTAGATTTATATCTATGAGCGTATGTCTAGTCCCTGCATCTTGCTTGAATGGTGTGACCACGTGGTAGCATATTCTTTGGACATTGGAAATGTTTCTGCGTAGGTTCCGTCATAGGTAACATTGTTTTACAATATGTATACATTATTATAGAACCGCATCTACACATACGCGTACAATCAACCACTTGCACCCTAATACCCTTACCAGGGGCGTGTACAGGAGGGCTGGGGAAAGGGGGTCCAGGAGTCAGGCGGACGCACCCCCGCCCCCCGCGCTGGCGCAGAAACGGCATCTTAAGGGGGTCTAGATTTCAAAATTTCAGATGCCCCCCTTCGCGTCTCGCAAGTCTGGGTTACGGTTAAAGACCCCCGCCCCGCCCCTGGTACAAATCCTGTACACGCCCCTGCTTACCCGGTACTACACCTACTTTACTTACACCGGCCGTCACCGGATCGCGCACGAAGGAGGAAGAGTTGAGGAATAAATAATTATTAGCTGAGGCGTAGGAAAATGGAGCCGCCCGCAGTGCATGCTCCGCATCGTGCGATCAAAACCTAATTTCATGCTAGATTCTTCTCGTAGTTAATACATGGTTGCGTACTAGATGTGCCGCCCTGTGTGTTTACCTGGATGCGCCAGCATGCGTGTGGCTTGATGGATGTTGTAGCCATTTAATCTTGCATAACATATATTAGATTCGACGACTCCATCAGTTCTATAATTCGACAGCGTGTGCTCTCTCAGGTAACTTCTAGATGCAATAATGCTAGCCAGAAACTTTAAAAGCTAAGATACTAGAAGACAGAAGGAACCCGCCGCCAACGCATACAGTAAAAACCCGCGTATAAGAACATAGATTTCAAGAACCTGTTAGGCTAAAATTTTTCCCATTAGACCCCTTATACATAAGAACCTGTTTTAGGCTAAGATTTTTAAAGTAGGTTCTTTAATTTTCCATGCACGATGAAGACTTAAAAAGAACAGCAGGTAAAATAAAAAAGACGAAAGGCCTCAAGCAATACCGATGAATGTGGGCCCAGCAGCCCTCTTTTTGGCACGCATTTTTTGGGCATGCTGGTTGTTTTCCTTGGATCAACTGTATCATACAGTAATGGTAAGCATTCTGAAAAACTTACACTGTTAGCCCATCATGGGTATTAATTAGCAAAAATTGTCAGTCCTTGTAAGAAAATTTTAACACAAACCATTATGAAATCAAGTATAAGCTTATACATATTAAAAGTCAACGAAACAATTAAGAACCTATTTAAGAAGCCTTTGAGCCTAATTTTTTCAGCGTAAGCACCTTTTATATAAGAACATATTGAGGCAACTTGGAAAAATCTTATAGTTCTTATACGCGGGTTTTTACGTGCGTAATCGCAGACGCAAAAATAGCCATTTTAATCTTGCATAACATATTTAGAATCGACGACTCCCTTAGTTCTATATTCGAAACGAGGGGGGGAGGGAGGGGGGGGGGGGGGCGTGTGCCTCTCGTCAGGTAACTTTCTAGATGCCAATAATGCTAGCCAGAAACTTTTAACGGTGAGAACTAGAGACAGAAGAACCGCCGCCAACGCAATAATCACCGAGCCCAAAATCGCCGGACGCATAATCGTCAACGCGTGCCTGCTTGTGTGCGCCCCCCCCGCTCCCCCCCCTAAACCCTATACTTATGCTTACTCCCTGATATTATCAGTAATCTAACGCACAGTGTACCTACGCGAGTGCTGGTCCTGAGTCTAACGGCCGCTTACGGGCCCTACTACCAGAGTCAGTGTAGCGAACGCAGTCAAGCGTAACTGAAGACTGATATTATAGCAGGTTAACAGTGGTGATTTTCACTATCCAACTAATTCAGCCTACTTTCACGTCCACGTGTGTTACCGGGGTGGCTGCCGGGATGAAAATCTAACCAGTCTTAATAACGCAAGCGCCGTAGCCAGGGGGGGGTTTCGGGGGGTTCGAAACGAACGCCCCCCCCGGAGGCCTCCGCCCCCCAAGCAAAAAAAAAAAAAAGTTGAAATTTGGCAAGAATTTCACGCTCAGGTTCCGCCCATTTAGTGTAATAAATTGCAAATCTCCATCGTGGCGGGAGGGTGAAACAGTGAACACCCCCCTCCCACACCCTCCCCCGGCTCGCTTTCCCTCGCCTGTCACTTCGCGCCGAGCATGGGGCGTCCTACAGCGGGGGGTCCGGGGTCCGCCCCCATCTCCGCTCCGCGGAAAAGCCGCATCATGAGGGGGTGTTTTTTAATTATGGGGGGAGAGGCCCCCCCAGCCCCCCTTCGCGTGTCCTGACCTTGCGGTTACCGGTTGGCCGCCCACCTGGTAACAATCCTGTACAATGGCCGCCTGCCGAGCAATTGCTAACATTTGAAAAACGAACCCGCCCTCCACCAACATAAGAAGCTGGCTACGCGCCTGTTAATACCTAAATATAATAATAGACAATTATAGCCACGTTATTGGTAGTCTCTACGCTGTTACGGTTATAGCTTAGACCGAATAATTCTGTCCCTTATAACCTTTGTTATATTTTGGTGATGGTTATTGGCTCCCCCCCCCCCAATAACCCTCACAAAATATAATAAAAGGTTATATTGGTGACAGAATTATTCGGTCTACGGTTATCTATACCCTAGCTGAGCTCTAGTCTGTGTGACTGTCGCGACTGCACCTATCATAAATTTTTAGTAAATAGAATATAAGATTCATGGTCTAAAAAAGCTATGGAAGACATTTTTTAAACGAATGGACGAAATGGAAGATAAACTCAGAAGGGAATATTAAAAACGGAGTCGCATAATGGTAAACAAAAGACTAGACGACATAGATGTCAGCATGAAAGATTTGTCAAGGTTAGTGCAGGCAGTTTAATTTCTCGACTCAATTTGAAAACGCGAGTTAGATGATGCACCTACAAAAAATTACCAACCTAGAAGAAAGATAACAAGATATTAAAAAAGAGCCGCGTCAGGCAGCCGTAGAAAAGGCAATAAAAATAACGACTGGCTATAGAATGAGTTAGAGCAGTATACGATGTCGTCGTGATACGCTTAGAATTTGTAACATATCTCCACGTACAAAAATGAGACTTGAATAGTGTAGTCAAACTCATCGCTTCACAATATGAAAGTTGAATTACTAGAGGCAAGATATAATTGCATAGTCCACAGACTGCACCTCCAAGGTCAGGCGCACCAATGCACCCAAGATCATCATTAAATTTACCACCGCGTGACAAACGCAATGAAATATTTCATTGCGTTTGTCACGCGTGGTAAATTTAATGATTAAGAGAATTATCTGGGTCAGCTTATGCTTAATTTCTATATTGTATGGGTACGAAGCAGATCCTGAATTAAATTCTCCTGCAGAGACGCCCTCGGAATGCCCAATCTGTTGCCTCCGCGCCAACGTAGAGCGACTTCTTTGGAAGGCTGCGGGCCACACCGAGGTCCTGACTGAGGTGATGTTCTCCGCTCCTTCTTGCAACCTTTTTGTTCTCCCTGATGTGTGTAGAGATTCGCCTTTTG